GAAGCTGCTCTTGCCAGTCTCAGAGCTTCAATGACTGAGAGTCTCAGTTGAGTGGCCGCTTTTGAAACCAGACTGGTTGTTATCCAGGAGGTTGTTCTGTGCAAGAAAGGTAGAGACTTGGTTAAACTCGACTCGAATAAGTGTTTTAGCAATGAATGAAAGAATTTTTTTTAGATTCAATGTCCTCATCTTTTCCCCACCATTGAATCTCTCTACTTTTCCTGTAAAATCTTCGAAAAAGTGCTCAGATGCACCATTCTTGCAACAATCACCTGCTTTATCCTTCATAAACCTCTTATCATCATCTCACTGTCTTTTACTGTCTCTATTATAGTTGCTGATCCTTCTCAAAATCCTCAAATCTCCCAGTGACAGAAGCACAGGTCTAAAGTTGCTCTGATATCCTTAATCGTGCATGAAGTTGAACCCAGAATGCACCGTTGACCAGTCTATATGTCTCAAGATTCCTCTCCCTCTTTCTCCTTCCCCTGTGCATAATAGAGTTAACAACATATAAAAGGCATGGAGAGAGCAGTGAATGAGTCCCTAAGTGTTAGGGTGGATTATCCCTGTGCCTGTATCCATGGTTTACTGGGCATCCATAGAGCACCTAATGGGATAAGGAGAGAGCGGAACGGTAGGTGAGGCCCGTCTGACTCTGGCCTGAGTGAGGACAGACAATCCTTTAAAGAAACATAACCAGATTCACAGAAACACTATTGCTGCTCTTTTTCAGAATTCTTAAATAAATTTTGGTGCTTTTATCCCGTCAATGTTGACCAGTAATGTTTCTAGAGTCCTTGGTTCAAGTGTCTTGAACATAATTAGATTACGTAATTAGATGTGCCGATGGTGTTTCATGCATACAGAACAAGACATGTTTAGCTATTTTTCAATGACATTACATCACATCACTATATTTTATTGTGAAAGAATGTACAGTAGGCCCAAAAAGTCTGAGACCAAATGAAAGTCTGGAGTCTGACTTGGAAATAAACTGAGCATTTTAGAATAATAAAAACAAAACAAAATCTAAAACAAAGAAAAGTTATACTGAAAAATGAAAAATAAAGGTGATTTTTCAATTCAGCCATCACTCAGCCTACTGATAATATTTTTTGTAATGAAAATAATTGTGTTAAAATGGAAAATTGGTTGGTTCAGATGTTTGGACCCCACTCAATATTCAGTGAATTAAGAAAAGTTGAATTGCTAAATTTACAGCACGACCTCATTCTTGTAACATTGTTGAGTGCTATAAATTATTTTAATGTGCTCTTTCACATGCATAATACAGTTGATTTCCATTTTAGTGAATTATTTCATTGTCTTCATATGAAAGCAGAGTTTGTTATGTGACTGAATAGTGTGCTTTCAGCGTGTGTCTTATAATTGGTGTTTCTCACATGCACTGCCTGTTCAAATGTTTCATACTTTCTTTCAATTATTAGCCTATAATGAGAGAGGATGGCCCCTGGGCAGGCCACTCACTTTTCTTAGCATGCAGATCTATTCATTTACTGATTCATATGCTAATCACTGCTAATTGAATCAGTGTGTTGGGTGTTTTCCTGGGTTTAATGATTTCTTTGGATCTGACCGCACAGGGTGAGAGTGGTTTACTCAAATAGTAAGGCTAAAAATGCAATGAGGATAACAAAATAAGGAGGTTAGTTCACACTGCCACATAAAACACTGACAAGTTTCTGTAATTCTGTTGAATACAATGAATTGGTTTTAATTGGTTACCTAAATAAATAATATTAGTACTTTATATAAAGTATAATATAATCTTTTAATAATGAATAATAGGCCTTTGCATAGAT